CAACAACAACAACAACAACAACAATAATAATAATAATAATAATAATAATAATGATAATGACAATAATATTGACAATGATAATAAAGATAAGAAAATAATAGTAGACAAAATTAACAATGATAATAGTGGTAACGCTAATAATAATAATAAATACAATATGAACAACAATAATGAGGAAAATAACAATGATATAAAAAAGTAATGACATTAACAGTGGTTATAACAATAAATTCGCCGTTATTATTATCACTGTTTCTGATCCCGACTTTTGTTAATCTACATCTACCGAGTGAAATTCTACAGGCTATTTTCCATTCTGTTTCTCTATCGTTGTTTATTTATTTATTCATTTATTTATTGCATAATTTTACCTTATTTTAACACCTTTGCTTGTTATGATTTTTTTGCTCCACCATTACACAGAAAGTTTGATTTACAGCCAATATCTATTGATTAGTTATGTTAGGTAAATAAAAACTACATTTCTTTCTTTTTTTTTCGAAAAGCACATACCAATATTCGAAAATGTATAAATGAATAGGAAATATAAACACCAGTATTCGGATATTTTAAAACAATAGCCAACATCTGTTAATTGGTTATGGTAGGCAATTAAAAACTTTTTTTTTTTTTCGAAAAAATACACACCAATATTCGAAATGTATAAATGAATAGGAAATATAAACACCTGTATTCGTATATTTTCAAACTCATTCAATATCATCAACGTCGCTACATTTCAAATAGTTTTGTTTTGCGTATCTATTTCTGCAATTATTTTTGTTTCTGTATGTATTCATCTTCGTCGATCTCTTTCAACGTTCAGATCGACTTAGCTTTTACAGAAATGAATAGTAATGATTTTTATAATTCTTTCGAAACAAAAACATTATTTTGATTTGCCGTTTTTGAAAATGTCATTCCGTAATTTGCGCATTAAAGGGGATACTTTTAATATCCTTATTATTTATTATTTCTCTCCGCCATTTTTCACTAAAATCTCTTACTTTTTATATATTATTTATCAACACAATTCTTTTCCTCGGTCTGTTTTGCCAAACTGTTACATTTCGTAGTGTTAAAAGCGTATTGCTATTTCTTATGCATGTTTTATGTTTTTTTTCGGTCAAATTTTATACCTTTTTTGTCAGAACACTTTAACACTTTGATATCGCTTTGTGTAATAAGTCATATTTTCCTCATAAATTATAATTTCGGAGTGAATATATGAATAAATAAATATCACCAGTCGCACTAAAATCCACAACGGTTTCCAATTTTCACTTATTTTACTTTTTTCTTTTCTTTTCGAAAATGTCCACCTTTACTCTTGCCCGCGAGGGGTATGGGTGCCCGGCGCGACCTCACTCAACACGTGACAAACTGGCACTGGAGAGCCATGCCACTGCGCGAGTTCCCGGCGATGCCACAGGGCCTTGTTGGCTGCCCGATGGACCCGTCTTCACAGTTGGCACCCGCCGGCACTCCGCCCAGCGCCGCCAATCACCACGCGCGCCTTTTGTTTTGTGTCCCTTCCTTCCCGACCGTGCATTTTCAGACACTCTTAAGCGAAAGACCGATGGAAAATCGCCGTTGTATCTGGCGGGACTTTCGTTACATGCCGGGGTCACTCGCGACGGTCATACATTCCCCGAATAACGAAACGACCTTCGTCCCGTGTGACAATGGTAACGCTGCGGATAGTTCACAATACCGCCGACAGATGTCACCAGCGCCGCCGCTACCACTCTCTCTTCACGACCTGCGCTGTCACCACCTATATATATACTCTTCTACTTCGAGAGATAAGTTGATGGATAGAGAAATAGACAGACAAATTCGGATGGTTGGAAAGATTGATTGACAAAGCGATGACGAGGACAGGGAGATGACGGGAAAAGGTGGAAAGGCAGTGTTTATGTACACACAAACACACGCTCATGCACACACGTACAGTACATTCACATCCATACAAATGTATGGATGTACACACTCACGCACACACACACACACACACGCACACACACACACGCACGCACGCACGCACACACACGCACGCACGCACGCATGCACACACGCACGCAAGCACTCATGCACACACACACACACACACACACACACACACACACACACACACACACACGCACGCAAGCACTCTCTCTCACACACACACACACACACACATACGCACGCACGCACGCACGCACGCACACACACACACACACACACACACACACACACACACACACACACACACACACACACACACATACACACACACACACACACACACACACACACACACACACACACACACACACACACGCACATACACGCACGCAAGCACTCACACACACACACACACACACACACACACACACACACACACACACACACACGCACACACACACGCACGCAAGCACTCACGCACACACATATATATATACGTCTCCCATTTTCTCTCCCTCTACCTTTCCCTTTCCCGCTCTTCCACCTCCTC